TACATCATAATGTTCCAGTAAAAGCCCATTTTCCCTTGAGATAATAAAAGAATTGAATTTTTCCTTATCGGTCATCTATTTTTCTAGCTAAAGCTATTACTCCCTCTCTGCGGTTGCTAGGCAACAAGAAATATTAATAGCAGCTTTTATTAGCTTAGCTTTAGCAGTGGAGTACCAGAATGAGAAAATGGAAAACATAAATGTGTTACATAAATCTTTCAACCTTTCAGGGTTTGTGTTAGTCTCTGTTTTCATAATGATTTATTGAAGTGATGGTTCATTTATGAGAAAAAGGAGTGTGAAATAAGAAAACGGAACATTACCCTGAAGGACTGTTTGAAAATAAATAATTATAGGAGGTGAAGAAAAGCTGTTTAAAACCATTTTTCTGAGTTTTATAAAATTTAAAAAGACATATTTCTTTCATTTATTGCCTCTGAGAAAAACACTAGCAGGGAATTGCAAACAGGGCTCTGTTTAATACAAAGAGCCCTTCACGTACGGCTGTGTTATTGCTATTTTCCACCAAGGCTTGTGTTTGGAGTTTAGCTTTTAAATAGTGAACTGTTAGTAAGCAGAAAGGCAAATGAGTCGAAACCTGAAGCACGCACCATGGGAGTGCCAGGGCACAGGGGTCTGCTAACCCTCTGCTCCCAGTGACATGGTGACATGGTGCCAGCCCACGCTCAGGACATTGCTGGAAACACAGTTGTTCCTAACATCTTATTTCACCAGGCAATGATTTAAAATTATTGCAGTATTCATGCACTGGAAGTATTTGCCAACAACATGTAAGTAGCACTGCCTGCAGGAGCATCTCTGTCACCTACGGAGCTGCAGCTCTGTGCATACCCAGCCCAGTGCCCTCACCATGTTCCCACAGCTGAGGCCATACTGGAGCTACTCAGACAAACAGAGATCCTGCTGCCCTCATGTGACTCAGGCTCCAGTCAAAAAGATGGGAAGAATGGGAGGTGAAGAGAAACCCACAGCACTGGCCAGGGAGATGCTCTTGCCAGCTGCCTGCATGCAGGAGCCAGTGCTGGAACAGGTTATACAACTGCAGAATCATTAATGTTGGAAAGACCACCACTGAGATGACGTCCATCCATCAACCCATCACCACCCTGCCTACAGCACAGTGCCACTCACCGCCACATCCAACCTCTTCTTGAAAGCCTCCAGGGATGGTGACTCCACCACCTCGCTCAGGGTCTTCTGCTGGCCACCAGCGAGTTGTTTGTTCTCAGAGACCTCCACCATCCTCGTGGCCCAGGCAGGCACACAACCCTGGCTCTGAGAAGTGGCTGCTTTTCATTTCCATTTCTCACTTGAAGGTAGGTGTGTTACAGCCGAAGTTTTGCTTGGTTTTGTGTTTTATTTTTCTTTCTTTTTTTCCCTTTCTATTCCATAGAAAAGCCCCATAATGCTAGATAACAGCAGTCTGGTTTCCAAAGCCAAGCTACCCAAAGCCAGCCAACCAACTCCAGACATTTCAGGGCTGCGTTTGTCCTTGCTGCTCTGATTCCTCCTGCCTTTAACCTCTCCTCCCTGGAGGGAACACCCAGGAAATTATAATTAAATACAGTAACCCAGTGCATACAGGTTCCAGACCTAACCAGAAATTTGACATCTTTTACACTATGAACATGCTTCTCACCACTGGTGATTTTGAACATTTTTCAGGTGATGTGGATTTTCTCAAACTGAAATGAAACACTTCCAGGACATTTCTGGAGCCTTTTTCTATATATTTTTTTTTACATTTTTTTTTCACTCAAGCTGATGCACCAGCTTTCTGATAGCAGAAAAAATTCATCACCTGGAGCTGAAGGGATAGTTTCTTTCCAACCTCTCCATCTCTCCTTCTCTTCCCAGTAAGAGGAAGGGAGGGACTGTAGGACAGCATTTGCTGCAACCTCCTCCAGAAGAGCTGAAAAGTGAGGGAAGCTGATTTTGGGTACCTTTTCTACAGCCATAACCAGTGCAAACGTCGAGAAATAAAGTCACGTAGATCTCCCACCATGAGAAGCACCAGGGAGTGGAGGTGCATGGAAAGTTGCCAGTCTTTCCAGTCAAACTATCATACTGATGATAAAGTCAATGCTTGCTCCTAACAGCTGCCACTTGGGGTGTCCAAAATGACATTTCCCCCAGCAAAAGTACACAGCTGTGCCATAGTTCTACCCAACAGAGAAGGGCGCAGCACCTCGGACTGGACACCATCCCGCCTGATGAGCAGAGACACGCTGCTATCTAATATTTACAGAAATATATTTGCACTGTGCTGGAGATTCGTGGGCTCTGACCTTGATCACCCTTTCTTTCTGCCAAATAGGTTCTACCAAATCCCTTCTGAAATCTCATTTATTCACAGCAGCTCCTTCTCCCAGCAGTATCCCACCTTGCTGCCTGTCCCTAGTTATGCCCGGTGCTTCCCAGCTCTCACCCACCAGACCCCCATGAGGGCTCAACAGCCACCTGCTGACACCAAAAAGCTGAGAGGATGCTCACAGTGGGCAAAGTTATTCCCTTTATGTGAAGAACAGGTCTTTCTTCCTCTCTTATTTCCCTAAGTATTCACCATTTCTAAGTGAAAATCACATCTTTCCTGTTTTCTTTCCCTCCAACCATTCCTCCTCTTTCTCCATAGCAAAAAAAAAAAACAACCAACCAACCAAACAAACAAACAAAAAAAACAGATGGCAAGAGAGAATAATCTGTCCTGCTAAGATTTTTTCAGCTGTTTCCTTTGCCCAGCACAACTACAACATGCCTTCCCCAAAGCTTCACCTTCACTCTCTAGCTCTCATCCCATTGTGGGTTTCCTAAAGACAGCTTTAAACCTGCTCTGATCTAGGTCTTCACCTGCATAATGGGAACAACAATTGCCTCCCTTGCAGAGGCACAGAGAGGCTTAACTCAATGTATGGACAATGCTGGGACATTTTTGGACTCTTTTTGGAAGTGCAAGCAGGTAAGTCCCTTCCTTTTTTGTGGATGCCCCATCCCTGCAGGCATTCAAGGCCAGGCTGGATGTGGCTCTGGGCAGCCTGGTCTGCTGGTTGGTGACCCTGCACACAGCAGGGAGTTGGAACTGGATGAGCATTGTGCTCCTTTTCAGCCCAGGCCATTCTATCATTCTATAATTCAAAGATTCCTTTATCAAATCCTTTCGTGCTGCAACTCCCACCTGAACGTGATGAACTTTTGGGCAGGTTTAGAGAAGGTTGCACATGGCACAGTGACAGGCAGCAGGGCCTGAAGTATCTTCATGGTGCCTCACCCAGAGAGCTGAGGCTCAGTGGGATGTGGGCAGGTGGTGTCACTGACACAGGCTTAAAAATCTGCTCGTTTTCTTGTATTTAATTACTGTACATGCCTTGCTCCCAATAGTAATTAGTGAACAAGTGCTACAATCCTGCCACAGTGGAGCTATGTGAGGGGAACTCAGCGTGGGCATCCAAAACCACAGCTGGGCAGGAAAAAATAGGGCTGGGAGCTGTTTCTGTAGCTCAGGTCTGACAGCATGGAAAAAAGGCTTTGGCCGGAGGGGAGGGCAGGATTTAATTTCAACTCGACACTGCAACACCATTCGCGCCCTGATCTACTTCCCTTACTGCTGGGACCTCTGAAGACGTATTGCAGATCCGGAGGTTTCCACTCAAAACTAAGCACTTTCAATTCACCATTGGCTGGAAAATTCAGGGTTCACTGGATTTTTTATTTCAGTGGTAAGGGGCAAACAAATCTTAATCTCTCTATTCTATGTTTACAGCCCACTAAGCCCCCTTCTTATCTTCTCCGGTTCAGCCCTGATTTATTGTCACCACGCTGCATTTGTAAAACAGTACCATAAAATAAGAAAGAGAACATTTCCCAAGGACTACTCCAAAATAAATTATTTCAGACATACAGAAGCTGTTTAATAAATCCCACTATTCTTGTTTCTTTAGGTATTTTAGAAAGTGATTTATAAGTGCAATATCACCCCTCAAAAATGAGACAATCAACACAGGATAAAATTATTGTGTTATGAAAATAAGGGTCAGGAAAAAGGGTTGCACTTTAAATTAAACTAGGGAAAAATATTTCATCTGAAATTGACTCTTTTTGTCTCAGAAATGAATGTTTTAATCACCTAAGAACCTAAAATCTAACACACAGACCTAAGTAATATTTAATTTCATAGAAATATGCTCGTGTTCAATATTGATAGGCAGAAGATGATGTTTTTCTTAAACACACTAACCAGGCAACTTGGAGATGCACCGAGACTTTACAAAGCCTTAGGATTTTCCTAGCCTAAGAGATAATATCCCATTTAAATATTTAAATATCTGTCTTTCAGACCATTATCTATTCAAGCAATCGACACCAAATGCTGTCTAGCTAGAGCAGTTGCAGACTTGCAGGCAATGCTAATAAAGTAAAATTAACTCTATTTGATATTGATGCCTTCTAACAGCACCCATGAAAATCAATGATCTTAGAGAGAAACAATGTAGAAAACTAACCATAGGGCTAAATGTGCTAAAGAGGAAAATATTACATAGCTCCAGTGTTAACACCACTGCCAAAAAACGAGAGAAAACCTTTCTTCAATGCTGCTGCTGCAGAAACGTCTTAAGGCCTAATTAGTCCCAAAGTTTCTTCCCAGAGCTGCCTTTATTTCATTATCCCTGTGTATTTATTCCTACAGAAGCATCATTTGAAACTTTGCAAGGTATCACCTTACCACCCTGTGAGCCAAAAGGCAACTTAAGCTTGCAAGTGCAGGCAGGGATCTTGTTCTCCTGGAAATCAAGAGGAAAGCTCTCCCTCCGTGGGGCAGCTGTGCTCCTCCTGCCAATGCCACACACCACGGGGTGGCAAGAAGGAGGCTCAATCCCCATCCCCGGTGCAAACACCCCATTAAATGTATAACATCTCAATCAAATCATAGCACAATGTACAGAAATGGCTTTAACGGAAGGCAAAAAGAGGAGAAAGTCACTGACCGTGGGTAGCTGGCTGGAGAGGAGATGCCCGTCCTGACTCAACATGTTGGAGACCATGATGGCTGGCAGGTCCATGTTCTGGTAGGGGTAGGCGGGTATCAGGCTGTTTGGAGGCAGGCTGTGGCACAGGGAGTGATATCCAGCTTCGTGGTCCACCAAGTGCAGGAGTGAAGGGTCGGGGAGGTTGGGAGGTGTGATGGGTGGGATTTCATAGTCTTCGTTATTCTCATTCTGACTATTATACGTCTAAAACATGAAAAAGACATTTCACAATGCGTCACTGCCTTGTCCCTTCAGCAAATAAAAGTGATTGCTTGTGTAAGAAATACAAAAGCACGATCCCAGTGAAAATGTTCTTGTTTTAACAGAAAAAATAGCTCCAGGCCCAGCTGTCAGCTAGCCATAACCGAGTAGGGGCCAGGTAATGGGCAGTGCACCATCCACTGCAGAACACTGCATGTTCTTGAAAGCCTCCAGTGCTGCTGGAGCACTGCTCACTGCCCCTCCATCCCTGCTGCAACCCTTTACCAGGTTATAAACGCCTCTAAAGAGAGAAAGCCTGACGGTGCCCCACACTGAGGTTTGTCCTTCCTTACATTCTCATACAGATCTAGTTTGGTTTAGCATGCCCTCCTCTCCGTACCAATATTCCCCATGAATGTGCAGAGAAGCTGCTTCTTTTGTTTCCCATGCTTTCTGCTGGTTTGTATAAAATTAAGCATTCCAATTTGTATGGAAAAAAAAAAAGATATTATTACACCGATGTGAGTGTTTTTATATCAGACAAAAACATATTTGCTTCATAAAGCAAGTGTAAATCTATCCAAAATTATTAATTATGAAAGCAGAATATAATGAGTCTCTGGCAGAGGAGGCTTACTCTAAAGATCTACTGTTTCACTTATTATTATAGTATATGAAATTCTGATTAGCCATAGCATTACACACATGGATTTTAAGCTAAATTTCTCAGATCACCTAGTTTCATGGTTGGATTTTGACTTAATACTCAATTTAAGAGCAAAACCCCAGGCGTGTGCAAAACTAGTTGAACATTTCAGGCTTTATTAATCCATTGCCCCAGAGCTCACACTTGGGTTCATGCTCTTCACCACCCCCAGACGGCAGGGAGAAAACCCTTAATAAAATAAAATAAAATTAAAAACATATACATTTTTAATCAGAGCTCAGAATCCAGTAGGAGAAGCAGCTAAGCGGAAATCCACCTCTTGTCTCCTCTCATCCCATCACAAAAACAGAGCAGAGCACATATGCTGCACATCCCACCCAATTACTCACATTTGCGTGAAATTCCCACTAGCTTTGGAGAAACACGAGTACACCAGAAATATAAGGAGACCAAGCTGAGCTAGCTCTGTATCAACAGTTATTGTTAGGGGAAATTCAAGCCCAGTTGTTTTTCCAGCCAGCTTCTGTCTAGCAGTGGCATTGTGCTGGCAAGGTAGGGGGATGAGAGGCTGCACACAAAAGCAGACAGATCCCATTTAATGCGTCTAGCAGTTAAGTTTTCATTTGAGCTACACTCTTCGAGGTATATAAATTCTTCTCCAGCTATTTAAGAGGATTTCACTCTGCGCTTTATGGAAAGGGATTTAAATAAATCATTGCACAGCAAACTTGTTCCTCCAACTGGTTTATTTTGGTATCAGGTATATAAGAAAGTGGCTTTTCTGCGCTTAACTAAATTATGTAAAACCCACTCAAAGTTTCCTAAAGCTCTCTTCAAAACTACGAGTTGCTTGTGCTGCTGCAAAGCAGCTCACGGAAAGGCTTTGAGGCGGTTTTGCCCCCGCTCCCCCTGCACATTCTTTGCTCTGTGCTATTCAGACCGGGAGAAAAAAGCCCTGTGTAACTCACACAGCCCTCCGAAGAGCTACAGTATTGTGCAGACCTATGAAAATCACAATCAAAGCCGTACGCAATCAAAATCAGATTAGACAATATCCAATCAACATAATCAGCCTTGGCGCCTGCCAGCTTTTACACCGCGTCGCAGAGAACTATTTTCCAAAACAGGCCGCCCTTATTCTATATGTGTTTCAAATAGATGGCTAGAGATATAGGGAAGGGAGAAGAAGCAGTATGGAAAGGAGGGGAGAAGGGAAGTTATTGTGGCACACTGTTGGCATGGCCATGGGGATCCATGCCCACGGAGGGTGGGCTCACACACGTGCACAAAAGCCATCATCCCCAATCTCCTGCCAGCAGCACCCCATGTGCCTTCCCACCACGGCCTGGGCTGCGTGGTGGATTCTGTTTTCTATTCTTATGTTAATTTGAATTAAATTAAACAGCCAATTATACGTTATAAGGATACATTACAAATTAGATTAGCGAGCTGGCCTGAACCCATTCCTCCCACCAGGAATCCCAAGCCAGGCGCAGGGAAGCTCTCCCAGCTGAAAGGCCGCCCGCTGCGGAGCGCACAACGAGCGCGGGAGATCTGGGATTTTCTGCTCTCAAGCAGATGACGGTTGTTTGATTACACATTATTCCCTTTCAAATTAAAACACTGACATCGGCTGAAACAACAAGCCTACCCGTGCCAGGCCTCTCCAGCTCAGCGCTGCCCTGTGCTCCCTATGAAGAGCCGCAGCCGCCATGAGCCCTGCCCTCAGCCTGCCCTGCTCTGGGCACAGCCAACACAGCGACCTCAGCTGCTCAGGAGCAAGGCTCTGGCGGCCCACAACCCCTGATGCTTTCTGACAGAAAGAGACGTGTTAACGCACCCAAAAACCCCTCACAGGATTCACAGGCAGCCCACATGAGGCTCGCAGGGAGGGACGCTGCAGCTGGCAGTGCCCCATGTGGAAATGGAGCCGAAGCGAGAGCTTTACAGAGATAAAGCCGGTTCTTCTGCTTGTCTCCAGCGTCCCATGATGGGATGCCTGAATTTTAACACTAAAATTGGATGTTCTTCCGTATGCCCAGATAAGGATCAGAACTAAAAGGGTATCAAGCTGCAGACATCTTCTCCAAATGCCCTCAAGCTACTGAAAACTGTGCGGGCCAAGGAGGGAAGCGAGTAGTTCTCACCCTAGAATGTCAGCAGCTGGCAATCAGCAAACTGGAAGTAGAATCATAGAACCACAAAGGTAGGAAAAGAGCTCTAAGAGCATCCAGTCCAACCCAAGCCACCCCTCCTTGCCCAGTGACCACGTCCCTCAGTGCCACGTCTCCACGGTTCTGAGCACCTCCAGGACGGTGACTGCACCGGGCAGCTGTGCCACTGCATCCCTGCTCTTTTGAAGAAGAAAGTTTTCCTGATCTCCAATCTGAACCTCCCCTGACACAGCTTTGGGGCCTTTACCTCTCCTCCCATCACTGTTACATGGGAGAAGAGCCTGAGGCCCACCACACTACAATCTCCTTTCAGGGAACTGTAGAGTGATAAGGTCTCCCCTGGGCATCCTCTTCCCCACAATGAACAACCCCCATTCCCTCAGCTGCTCAAACGTTTCCACCGCCAGCACCCATTACAGCTGTAACACAATGCAAGCTCCCGCAACAAGGAACACACCTTGCTACTGCTCCAGAGTGGGGCAGACACAACCGTACTTTGTGCTGCAGACAGGAGGAAGGTTTGCGAAACAGCCTATTCCTGCACCATTTAGGGTCCGTCTGCCCACCTCTGCACTGTGCACCTCCAGCATCCAGCTGCCTGAATCTAAGGGATATCCAGGTATTTGAACACCACCCAGATCTCGAAGGGCTGGCTGGGAGCCAGCCAAAGCCATAATCAATACCTTATCGTGAATGACACCAAGAACCCACCATGCAGGTAGCTTGAGGGAGCTACAAGTGCTGTGCACATCAAGCCTTTGGCTTTCTCCTGCCTTTCCCCTCTTGGATGAGGAGGGAAATACTGCCTTTCTTTAAAAAACACTCTACAGCTGGCCAGCACCACTTCTCCCTTGCACATTGCTATTAATCATAGAAGACATGACTTGACCAAGGACCTGGGAACTGCTCTCCTCAGATGCATGGCAAACATCCAGTGACCCCAATTCTCCACTGAGTCATGCTCCGTGTGATTATCCATGAGGATCCAAGAGCTGCAGCCAAGCACTGATTCAGAGAAAATATTATTCACAGTGGAAAGGATAGGGATTTGCAGCATTATTGCAGGTAAATATTTGCCCTGTCAAATAACACTCAACAGTAAACACAAGGCTAAGAAAGAAAATTTATACCCAGTAAGGTACAAAGAAAATATGTCGACTGATGTGATTCATCCCACCCTGATCATCCGTGTGACACAAAACACCATGGACTCTCCCACCCCTCACCTGCTAACAAAGCTGTTCCTGCAGCTAACATGAGAGCTTATTGCCGTAGGAACGTGACCCTCTGGGAATTTCAGACATCAGATAGGGCTAAACAAACAAAAAGCAGGCTGGGAAATCTGCAGAGTGAATAAAACATTGCTATTTGTGAGCAAGTGCAACCAAGGGCTACCACAACAGACACCAACAAAGCCTGTGCTCCTGTTTGCATGGAGAGCATGGAGTGCTGAAACCACAGGGGCAGCAAGGTTGGTTCAGGTGGCAGGAGAAGGTGGAAGGCACCTGGATGTTGCAAACCCCAAAGAAGAGCTCCAGTTCCAGCAAGGACCACAGCACGGTGCTCACCGTGGGGCTGCCAAAGGCTGCGCTCCCAGCAGTGCCTTCCAAAGGCCCGTGCCAAGCCTTGAAGCAGCGCTGATATTCCACATCAGCAGCTCTGGGGCTCAGCAATGGAAATCGATTTGCCTCATCTCTGCACGTGGAGATCCTGCCTGTGAATAGCGGGACCAATGAATTACTTGGGTACTGTTGGAGGAATACTGTAAATAAGTACTTATTAACAGCCAGCCACATACTGTCTATAAATTGTTTTAGATGTTCTCCCAGCTCCTTTTACACTCATTTTCACATGCTCAAGTTTTTGACTGAGGGAATGCAGTTGAAAAGGGAAAAATGAGTCCTTGTACAAACGTAAACATGTGCTGGAAGTGTGTGCACAACCTCCAGCAGCAGGCAGACATGCCAGGAACCCAGCAGGATGGCAGGCAGCCCCACGACCAGCAGCAAATTGGGGCCTACCTGCCTGCTGAGACTTCTGTGCTCCTTTCCTTCCTGCAGTATAGGATTTAAATCCCAAGCGAATGCTGGTTCACCCAAAGAGCAATCAATCAACCTGTTTAATGTTCTCCAAGTTTCTCATCATTTCCTCCTATTGTTGCT